TTCTTAAGTTCTTAAACCACTTATGATTTTTAACTTGTTTGTGGATACAAAAAAAAATGCACAAGTCTTTATTCGATTGCACAATACTCTTGTGATGGACAATCCGCTGGCCATTGTTGGTTTACTCAGTGGAATCTTTAATTCCCTCCAATCGCAGCACTTAAGTGCTAATGGTTTAATTCTTCTCAAATGGCATGGTTTAAGATGCCTAAAGTTAGTAATGCAATATAGGTGTATTCTAGAGCCAGAAAACAATATTAATCTGCGAAAACCGGAAACTTGAATCACTGCTCATAATAGAAGTGTGGCAATATTTGACTTTGAATATTTTATATTACACACTTATTGTGTCAGAACTGGGAGGGTGATTAGCTATTCCATTTCTCCTCATCTTTCAGATAGTTGAGTTAAATTGCATACCGTATCTACTGTATCTTATTGTTACAACTAGATCTGCGTATTCCTCTCTATTTATTCTTCTCTCTCCTCTCTCTTGTCTTGGTGCTTGTTTGCTGCTGGGCCTCAGGAGTCAGAACCCAACCGAATCCTCTTAGTTACTATTCACCACATGATGTATCCTATAACTGTGGAGGTTCTACATCAAGTTTTCAAAGCTTATGGATATGTGGAGAAGATTGTCACATTTCAGAAGTCAGCTGGTCAGATTCCCCCATCTCTCTCTCACTCCGCACACACATGCATAGTTGATATGGATGTTACTTAGCAGATGCATGTGAATGGCAAGGCTGATTTATCAATTTTATAAACTCAATAATTTCCAATATGGGTATTACTACGCTGTACCCTGGTTACAAAAGCATTTATGCCAACTGTTGCAGCAATAATGTTGTAGTGCATATCAATTGATTACAGTAGATGCAGCATTGCGTATCATAGAGCAACAGATGTTTACATGCATGTAGTACTAATGGAAGCAACAACATGGCTCAATTATAGAAGAAGCACATAGATTATTAGATATCAGCCTCTCATCCAATTGCTGCAAATTTCATATGTTCTCCATAAAGAAATGTGGGTGACAGCATGATTTTTTCCAAGCGGCCTAGTCTATCTGTTGTAGTAAATATTTTTTATCTTTTCAGTTACTGGTACTACCTCTGTCCCAAAATAATTGTAATTCTAATTTGTTTAGCATATATTAAGGTTTGAGAAGAAAGACTATGATGTCCCTTGTTAAATGGTGTATAGGTAAGAGTGTGAGGGTAGTTGAGGGTAAAATAAGGAGAAATTTAAATGAGAAGTGATTAATGAAACCATTAGTATTCTATTGTGATAACTATTTTGGGACAAATTCAAATCCTAAAAATACAATTATTATGGGACAGAGGTAGTACATGTATTCATCTCCCACTGGGATAAATAAGTATGGAATTTCCCACCGATAATGCTTGCAAAGTATATTTATTGCATTTTGTTTGTTTGATGCAGGTTTTCAAGCCCTTATCCAGTATCAGTCACTCCAAGAAGCTATGGATGCATTTGGTGCTTTGCATGTAATATTTTTATTGTTCATTTAATTTCCCTGTGTACATTTCTGGTGTCTTCATTCTTGCAAACAAAATATTCCAGGGAAGGAACATATATGACGGTTGCTGCCAGCTAGACATTCAATATTCAAAGTATGACCCATGACTAGTCTTAGTTGAAATTTATTTATTTTTCTCAATCTTATTTTCTTGTTTCCTTGTATTTCAGTCTAAGCGAACTGCAAGTCCATTACAACAATGATCGTTCTAGGTAAAATTAACCTCTCATCCTTAGTACTTACAAATGACATTATTGGACAATTTGTAAGCATCAATAATTTTTAGGGAGTTGTACTTGCCTTTAAAAGTTATAGTACAATTAAACTTCAGTTCACAACTCCTCCTTTCTTTTGACTTTTTTTTAATCATCTTGTTGCCTTCTCTCAATTGTATCCTTTATACAGGGATTTCACAAACCCATCATTGCCTACAGAACAGCGTCCAAGGGCCTCTCAGGTTAGAGTGTGCTTATGTTCTTTTTGTTATCACATCACTTGTTTCATGGACCCATTTTTGCTCTGAAACTAAATAGAGAATTTTATTATTTGAAAATTATTGAAGCAGCAAGGCTATCCAGATCCAGGTGGTCTTTATGCCTTCCAACAACCAGGAGGTAGCACACTTCAATTTTGTTTGAATCAAATATTTATTGTTGATATTTGCAAAAGTTCCTGATTTAATTTCCTTTTGTGTGTGCAGCTTCATATGCACAGGTTAGTCTCCAGTGATATGTCTTTCACTTTGTGGAAAATGCAGATGGATAATAACCCTATAAGTTCTCATAAAAAAACATTTGCATTTGATTCATTCAGATGGGAAGAGCTGCAATGATCACAGCTGCATTCGGTGGAACTTTACCTCCCGGGGTGACTGGTACCAACGAACGTTGCACGCTAATAGTCAGTAATTTGAACACTGATGTAAGTCTCCATCTGTTCTGTATCGTTCAAGACTACCTTAACCTTACCACTTATATTCATTATTCATAAACTTCTAAGCTTAAGCTGTTTGAATTGAACACTTTGGTCCCTGAGTTTTTGCTAAAAGGTAGCTTTGGTCCTTGGTGTTAAAGAAGTCCAATGAGGGCCCTGATGTTTTGAACATAAAACCAGAGGACCTAATCAAAGTTGTTATGCCAACTACACTTGTGGATTGGGTCCTACTCGGCTAGGTGGAGATCAAGTAGAGTGACAGTAAGTCGTATAATTGTGTTTACCTATGTGAGCCATCCCAGTCAATGAAATCATCAGTAAGTCAACAATTCATGGCCAAACTGGAATAAAACAGCTGCTTGTTGCCTATCTGTTATGTTATGATAGGGTCAAATATAGGTGAAGGTGCTGATACAAGCATTCATCCCTCTCTCTAGTCAGGCCCCATAAGATGGTTAGCAAATGAATGCAGAATGCTACATGCTCATTTTGCTCTCTGCAGCCCTTAGAAAGGAAGCATCAAAGATGCATGGCTCTAGTGGGGTGTGTTAGTGGGGTGCTCGTCAAGAGACTTCACTTCCCTCATCATGTAGAGAGGTTCTTGAGTACGATTGAAGCTAGCAGGCTGTTGGCATGAATATTAGGATTGGGCCATTCTTTGGCCAGAGTTTTGAATAGTGAGGATCTTTGTCATTTTTTAGAAAATTGTAGCTACCAGACTGATCCTTTAGTGAAAACTCAACGAACCAAAGTGGTCGTTTGGCAAGAGTAGTTTAAGCCTGATATGCCAACTTATAAGGTATTCAAAGCTTTTGTGCAAGATGTTACTGGCCTTAAACCTTGGCATCTTAGTTCTTAACTCATCTGCCTTGCAGAAAATAAATGAAGATAAGCTTTTCAATCTGTTCTCTCTATATGGGAACATAGTCCGAATCAAAATACTGCGCAACAAACCAGATCACGCCCTTGTTGAAATGGCTGATGGGTTTCAGGCTGAGCTAGCTGTGCATTATCTGAAGGTACTCTCATATTCGCAATTATCTGCTTCATTGCATTGAGTAAAACTAATTTTCTATTTTCATATGTATGATTACTGTTTTGCCGCATTTTGGATGCCAATGTTTTTCACAGGGGGCAGTGCTATTTGCAAAGAAGCTCGAGGTTAACTACTCAAAGTACCCAAATATAACAAGCGCTCCTGATGCGCACGACTACACGACTTCAAGTCTTAACAGGTTCAACAGCAATGTAATCAAGAACTACCGTCACTGCTGCGCTCCAACCAAAATGATCCACATTTCAGCCCTCCCACAAGAGATCACGGAGGATGCGATTCTTAACCATGTTTCAGAGCATGGTTCTGTTGTAAACACAAAGCTGTTTGAGGTGAACGGCAAGAGGCAGGCGCTCATCCAGTTCGAGAGCGAAGAGGAGGCGACCGAAGCCCTTGTATCAAAACATGCCACCTCGCTGGAGGGTAACACGATCAGGATCTCATTCTCCCAGATGCAGAGCATATAGAAACTCATCGTGGGGAAACTTATCCAGCTAATCGGATGACGAGTAGCAAGTTTTATTTAGGAAAGCATTGAACTTTAGATGTGAATCCTGTTCTGTCTTCTCCTGTAGGCCGATGCTTTGTCTTTTGCTGTACCATGCTGTGAGACTGACTGAACAAGCTTGACGTTGGGGCCTTTAGCTGCACCAAATGGTTTTAAGCTTCTTTTCTTTCCCTTGTTGGTTTTAGGCATCCAAGGATTGTGTCTGGATATTGTGCTGTTCTAAGAGAGAGTTCTGCCCTGCCATGAACAAATCGTGCCTGTTGATCTAAAAAAAAGTTGTGTTATTATGGAGGTGTTTGATTAGGCCAGAAGGGCCATTCTTGCTTGTTTACGAATTTCTTCTCTTCTGTCTTTGTACTAATCAGAACTTGTAAAGTGCAACATCACAAAACCATTTTTTTTCCCGATAGGTACACCACAAAACTTTGTACTCCCTCTCTCAATGCTGATAACACTTGTTCTTTGTAAGACTGTTATTTAACTTTAAAATCTTTAACTAAAAATAGCTTTTAAAATGTCTTAGAAATAAGGTGACCACATAGATTAGTCTTAAATAAAAAGTTATTTTTTGAGACTGTTTTTGTCCAAAATAATAAGTATTATCAAATTGGAAAGGGAGTACTAACCAGAACTAGCAAGTGAAAAAAAGAAAAGAAAGAGGGGTAGACATACGAATTACCGTTCACGTAGTTATTTCGTCGATAACCACTACAGATAAAATTTCGACAATTTTTTTTTAAAAAAAATTTCAGTTTGTTTAACTTGTTTGTATACCGAGCAATTTCTCAATATGAACCGACTCAAAAGGACCAAACGATACATCAGTTTTTGGTTTCTCGATGGAAACATGCTCAAGATGACCAAGCGTTAACCTGGTTTCAGTTGAAGTGCATAAGACCGGTACACAGCCTCCAGATGACCTTAGTTGAAGTGCATAAAAGAACCAGGACGCAGTGAAGTAAACAAGGTACAAATGCTATCGTTTTTTTTTCTTTTGAAAGGAGTATAAATACTATTGGTCACAGTACTGATATACATTTGGAGCGTGATTGAAAGATTACACAACTTTTCACTCAGCGAGCAAACCTAAGCGATGCGGACTAGTCAACACTGACTTTCGTATTTTGATCTGCCTAATCTACCAGCAATGCTGCTTCTCAATCACCTTGTTCCAGCTTTGTCATCCACCGATTTGCCCTCTCTCAGCAACTCTGGGCAGACCTACAAAAGCTAGGTGGCAATATCAGTATACTATGTATATTCAACAGAACAGCTGCTGAAATTGAGATGGCCATGGATCAGAAATCTATTGGCAACCGCCTGGGACAGGTTTACAGGCCTGATCGCATCTGCAGATTTTACCTGATGTACTCACGCACTCATCATTCTGTTTAAACGGGTGCTCTGACCCTTATGGGGTGTTTGTCCTGGTGCTGCAATCACCTGCGGCATGGTCATTCCTCCAGAAACAATGATTTCTGTAAAAAGTACAAAGAGCATAAGATTAGATGAATAAGAGAAATGTACTAGGATAAAACACTGAATTGGATAGGAGAAAAGACCTAGCACACAAACGGTAACTTCAAAATTTGGAAAAGGAACCAACCTATCCCTTCTCGAATGGACAAATTCGGCCTTATAATCTCCTCAGACCTAACCAAGAAGATGTCACCGATATATAGATGATTGGTTGGCACATATACACTGCACAGTTCTTCATCACCTTTGTCAGTCTGTAAAGCAATATTAAATGATCATCTCAGAGCGCACAGAAAAAAAGTGTCAATCATAGATAATAATGGCGTTATGAAGTTGCACAGAGCAACAAAATATGGGCCTCTGTAATATAATTAATATGTAACCAAGTACAGTATTTGTTGTGCTGCTTGCTAAATCAAAATGTACACCAATTTCTAAAAAGTCGAAGGCATCAGTTTCACTGTTCCGACTGCAAATGTTTGCTTTGTGTTGCTGTTTGGCCTTGCATAGGTCTACTAGCAAATCTTTAGTAAGCTATCTTCTAGTATAATCTCTAAGTTCAATAGTCAGCTAATAAGATAAGGCCAAGCAAGGTTTTGTAAAATTTCTTGTGACCATTATTTTGACTCAGATGAACATAACTAATCGTTGCCACTTCCCTCAAAGTGAGGGAACTATTCTAGAAACAAGGAAACACAGAAAAGGAGCAACCGAACACATGCTTATGAAAATCAACAAATTAAAAACATTCAAAAAGTTTCTCGGAGTCAGCTAAGCTAAGCAAGGAAGTTATACATGAATGAGGCATCTGGAGGTAATCATCTAGGCAGGTGTAGGCTGAAACCATCAAGATTCTATTCATTCTAGAGCACATGATATGTATAAACAAATACCTGAAGGATCATCGTCGATGTTATGAATCCAAATGCATATTCACCAATACGGGGATGACTAATTATTGCAACTTCTTTAAATGCCGTTGTATTTTGATCTGTCAATAAGAAATAAGAAAAAATTCTGGTTGAGAAAATGAATTACAACAAAGTTGGAAACTTGTAATATAATGATTAAAATGATACATTAACCTATCAATACCTACAAAAACACAACATGAAGACATGAAGTGGGCAGAAACATAGTGTTGCAACTTGCAACTATAATTTATGAGTTTCAGAAACAGTGTCAATGTGTCACTCCAAGTGAAAAACATGAATGAGTTAAAAAGAAATATCATGGGTAGACTATTTCAAAGCACATAGATTTGTATATACGTATGAATCACCTGGTGAAACAGCAGTGCTAACTTGCTTCGATGCAGAATATATGTGCCTTACAAAAGGCATTTTCTTAATAAACCATTCTCCAATCCAAAAGACAGTTGAACCCACCCATGAAGAAACAAATATTCCAACTAGGAATATGAATAGCAAGGAAGTCAAAAACCCAAGGCCTGAAAAGATGTGATAACCATTTGTCATGAACAAAATATTAATACAAGACATAACTTTTATTACTCCACACAGAACAAACCATGAAATTTTGCCAGTTATAGCTTGATGTTGTTATTGCACGACATACTGATGAATGGCTAAAAGTGTCTTGTTATTGGCATTGTCAGCAGTTCAGGATCAACATTGTATCCAATAAAAATAAAGCATCATAAACTAAATTACCTGACTAAAGCACCTAAACCACATTATTTCGCACCCAGATTTGCAAATCCAAGTTAATATTTGGAGATCAAGTCTAGATCAAACACACACAAAAAAATCCAGCAGGAAAAAAAAACATCCTAGTCTAATTATGTTAATATACAACTGCATTACATATAAAAAAAGAGTAATATACAGACTGTTATTTCTCAACTATTACAGTATAGTATTTTTCCATAATAAGTACAAATATCCAGAGAGAAGCATTTTTGCAAGAGTTACCAAATATATCAAATCCAAGCTTTGCATACAGTGGACTGAAAAATCCATCAACAAACTTAACAAACCACCAGGTGATGAAGAATGTAACAGCAACAGGGAAAAGAACTACGCTGCAAATCAAAAGAGGGATAAAACAGGTTAATAGGCTTGGATATAATCTTTAGCTCTTGTGATATGTCTAGATTAATTGTTGAAAAAACATACCATCCTGTCATAAATTTTCTTGACACCCAGCTTTGAAGAACAGCAAAACATGCCTGTTTAATCATACAAGGTTAAGCACAGAACTACTATTTTGAAGATAATTTAGCACATGCATGGACAGGAGAAGTATAACTCATTTGGGTGAAAACAGAAAATTTGTTAACACAATAATTCTGGATCCAGGTTGTCTAATTTGCCCAGTGAAGTCAACAGAATCTAATATTTATCAAATAAGAAATAACCCTTCAAAGATGGAAAACATGATCAGACTGCATACAAAACTAAACAAGTAATAATTCTCAAATGTGATTTTTCAGAAGTGTCAACATTAGAATAATAGTTTGACTCAGGGACCAACGTGTAGGGGCAAATTTAGTGCCATTTGTCAAATTCGTACTGTCAGACACATATTCCATCATAAGATTTTAGGTCTGTTAGTATACGCAATCCCTGCTTATGACAAAAAGAAAGTGTTTAAGGCATGCTCTAAAGTAGACAATTCCCAAATGTGTAGAAGCAGTAATAACTATAGGTCAATACAGCAACCCAGATGATCCGTTAGCCCAAGAATCATCTAAACTTTAAATCCATGTGTCCACGGCAAGAGGGCACTCCTCTCCTACACACTAATGTACAAACTATCCAACATCAACACTCGAGAATTTAAATCCTCTTGTTTGTGTTTCGTACCTAATTTTTACAACAGTCAGAATTTACATTTTATCCAATACTATGTCGAAATCTATGTAAGCATCATCATCATCATCAGGAAGTGTTTTGAAGCACATAAAAATCCATGCATAAAACACGCGCATCAACGCATTATGTGCCATGTTCATCCCATCAAGCCACAGAACGCGAGGGCCAGGTCAACGGTCCAATCCAAACAGCTAAGTAGCAGAAGACTGGACATCAAAAATCAAAACGCAGCAGGAGCACAGGCGCGCGGCGGCCAGATCCAAGCAACCATTAGGGTTTAATACTTTAATCCGTCCGGGAGGAAGGAAGGGGTAAGAGGGCAGAAGGAAGGGTAAGACCGATCTAGACCTTGCGGGTGGAGTTCGCCGGCGAGGTGGGCCGCGGCGGCGACTTGACCGGGTCCTCGGGGTCCACCGCCTCCGGCGCCTGGCCGAGGGGCACGGGCGCGTACTCCTTCTCCTCCGGCATTGCGAGGCCCGGCAAGGCGGCGCGGGGGGCGGCTTCCTTCCCGAAGCTTCCGGAAGCTTCTAGATGGTAGCTAGTGGCCGTGGACCTGGAGGATGACGATGCCAACGAAACCGAGGTGGTTCGCCGGCTTCGCTGTCTACCACCACCAGCAGCAGCAGCAGCAGCAGCAGAAGGAAAAGGAAGCGGTTGGTAGCGGAGTTCGTAAGCGAGAGGGAGGAAGGAGACGGAATTGCCCCCCAGGTGGGCCCCGCGCGATCCGAGGGACGGTGCGGGCCGCGGGCCCCACCCACCCACTGCTCCGTGGGCCCCGCGGCGGAGTTAGCCCTGCCTGCCTCACGTGGACGGCGGAGGAGGCCACGAGCTTCGGCGCGGGGGCGGCGGCGGGTCGCGGGGGTGGAAGAAGAAGAAGAAGAAGAAGAGGACGAAGAAGCCGGCGTGTGCGCGGGTCGTCGGCGTGGTCGCCCCGCCCGTGGTTTGCTCCGCCCGCGCGGGCGCCGGCTGCAGCTGAGCTGGAAGACGAGGACGAGTCGGCTACGGTTTCCACGTGGACTAGGTCAAAGGTCAGGGTTGGTTGACGAGGGCGGGGGCACCGGCGGATTGTTTTGGGCCGCTTATCTTGCGTTTGGCTCTGGCCCAGTAGACTGCTCAGTGGGCCAGAATTAGTGTGAGAACATGAGGCGTAAGTAAACCTGCTTTTGTTTGGTTGGGTTTGTGGCCTATATACTCTATGTGTTAATCAAAGTTAAGTCGTAACCTTTCAATTTCGATGTTAGAAACTAATTATCAAGATCATCCTCGCAAAGATTACACACACGCAAAAGTTAGTCGTAACCTTTTAATTTCGATGTAGAAACTAATTATCAAAAATATCCTCACGAAAATTATAAAACTTAAATAGTGGAGCTCGTTTTGTTTGTTGGCTTATATCAGATAAAGTCAAAATTTTAAATTTTGAAACTTAGTATTAGAATTGATTTTGAGGTTTTTTATTATTCTTTATTTTTAACATTAACTTTTAAACCTACTACTACTAAGAATAAAGATATAAAAGTTTTACATATAAATTATTTTTTACTCCATTCAATTTTCCAGGTAAAAAATGCATGCCATCTTGCACTCTTTATGTGGTTTGCTGCACTCATCCATGTCTAATTACAAGATCAGGCGAAAAGATTATAGTTATTTTCGTTTTATTGACTAAAGGAAATGATAGAAAAGAACAATTCCATCAAAATAAAGAACAAATACAACAGTGGCACTGCCATGCACCTTTCTTTGGTTTCTTGCATGGATGCATTTTGAACACACAACACCACCATATCATCATCTTGGCTAGCTACAAACTGAAGACTCTTGGTTTCTAAGGAAGAAAATAACAAGCTCTTAGTAGTCTCTAAGTAAGAAAACAACAAGAATTAAGTAAGAGAATATTCAGAACCTAGTATGATCTCTAGCTACCACTTGCCATGGAAGAAGTAAGAAACGAAGAAAGAACTACTGCTGAGGAGGCCGAGGTGGCGGCGGGTACTGGCTCGAACCAGACCAAGAACTCGTCGTCGCCGGATAGGTCCAGCCACCACCGTCCGGCCAGCTGGTCCACTGCACCGCCTCGCCGTGCTCCGCCGGCGCGCCGTAACCCGAAGAAGACGACGCGGCAGAGGACGACGACGGCACGGAGGCGACGGTGACCGAGGAGGTGGGGATGGAGGAGTAAGGCCCCAAAGAGCTACTCATGGCAGCGGCGGCGCCGCCGCCGTAGTAGAGAGGATAACGGCCGCCGCCGCCGCCGCCTCCTCCGTGTAGGAGCATCTGGTACTGCAAGTAGTCCGAGACCGCGCTGGCCGGGTAGGCCACCGGCACCGTCTGCGCCGCTGCGGTGGCGCCACCGGCGCCGGCGCCGGCGGGCGGGCTGCTGAGGCGCGCGTCCTCGGGGAAGTTGAGCTTGGCGCGGCTGCCGCGGAAGCGGAGCGCGGCCTCGTCGTAGGCGCGCGCCGCGGCCTCGGCGGTCTCGAAGGTGCCGAGCCAGACGCGGGCGGCCTTGTGCGGGTCGCGGATCTCCGCCGCCCACTTCCCCCACGGCCGCTGCCGCACGCCGCGGTACCGCCGCCCGCCGCCGCCGCCGCCGTGCTGATCGGCGGAGGACGACGCTTCGACGGTGTATGTGGGCGAGTGCTCGTCCATGGCGAGACCGAGACTAGCGCCGCCCTGCGGCACGTCGGAGCTGAGCTGCTCTTGCTGCCCTCCTGCGCGCGAGCGATCGAGCGAATTAGATCGATGAGAATTGAAGCGAAGCTAAGCTAAGCTAGCTAGCGCTAGAAAAGCTCTACGTATATAGTGCATCATATTTGACGACTCCGTTGTCTCGCGCTACGCAGGCTACGTACGCACTTTGACACTTTGCTTCCATGCATTAAATGTGCATCTTATCTCTGTCGACCGGCTGCGAGCTTGCGACCAGCTGCAAGAACGTACTCCCTCCATTTTAAAATATAAACAATCGCTATTCTATATCTATCAGATTTTTTTTTAAAAAAATATTTATAATACTAAATTAGTATCGTTATAGTTTGTTTGTTTGAAATAACATATGTAAATATCTCTATAAACTTGGTACAACAATCTAAGAAATACTTACATTGTTTTTTGAGAAAAAAATGCTTGATCCACATTAACAAACAAACAGAAAAGTGTAACAATGTAACAACTTACATATTATAATATAAGATTAAGTGTGAAATCTTAGAATAGAGAAAAGTAGTATATTGAATTGAATATATAGTTCAGCTTAAGTGGAAGAAAGAATGTCATGTGATCCACATTGTCAAAATTTTCTTAATTATTTACGTTGTGTTTGATTAGTAAAGCATACATGTAGGATCGGACAAGGTTTTTCAACACCTAGATGCAATGAAATCAAAGTTTCATTCGAAACTGCAGTTCGGATGGGCTATTTTGTTTCACGCAAAATGAGGCAGATCATTAGGAGGTGATTAATTAACTATTAAATGTTACAAACTTAAAAAATGATTTATTTTATTTTTTTGAAAAATCTTATATATGCAAAATTGTTGTACGAACCATTATTTAGTAGTTTGGAAAATGTGTTAACAGATAACGATAAATTAGCTCAGCCGAAATGCTAAATCAAACTCAGCTTTATATCCCATGCAATTAGCATTAGGCGCAATATTGTGCATTGCATTTCTATATACCCATCGTCGTGGGAAGGCTTGTAATCAATTTTGTTCCGTTGCATGAATGTTGGGTATATATAAATTTGGATGCACACATTTTCTCCCCTAAATATAAGATATATATCGTCCTTTTGTAGCGGTTGGATCTAATTAATCAAATTTAACGACTTCCACCGCCCAACTTCCCTCGCCGTTAGTTACACTTTCTTCCCCAGCACAGTTGTGATTCTTCCATCCTGACGCCTCACCTGACCGTTAAATACCACATACGTAGTACGCTGATACGCATCAATGCATCGGCCCGTATATGTACGTCTCGTATACATTTTTGCTACCACTACCCAAAGTGGAACTCTCCTTCCTCTCTCTCCTATCCCTATAGGCTATAGCTACTTAGCTAGCAATGCCAGATGCATTACCACTCCTTGACACCTAACAATTGCATTCAAAACCGCAACTTAGGCAGCGCGTACTGTTAGGCTGCTATCACACCGGCCGTTCCATCTAATTAAAGATGGAAAATATATATACATATATATATATATATATATGCACAAAATTGTTCTTAACTTTTAAAAAAGGCTGATGTGGCAAAGTAAATCTAGATTTCCTATGACTCGATCCCGTTTAGTAAAATCGAACAATTGAGAGCCTTATTCGTAAGAGTTACTACCATGTAAGAATTAATCTTTTAGTACGTGCAGCGGTGTTTGTTGGAGAACATGGTTATTTTGGAGAAAAGGCACAAGGCCCAGCTTTTACTAAAAGCATAAGGAGAACATGGTTATTGCTAAGTCACAAGGCCGGAAATTTTACTGACCAGTGTTAGTGAAATTGTGCATGCTATTTTATTCCTACTTTTGTTTTATATGTAAATGACTTATTCTCCTATACATGTACCATTATCTCTAGTTCTATGATAATTAAACCTAAAATATTTGGAGGTACTTTCAGTAGATGAAAAACCAACTAATATCATGGAAAAATATGTTTTCCGTGTTCTGCTAAACAAGCTTAAATTTTGATGTATACCTATCGTTTAACAAATTAAGAGAATGGAGGGAGTACGCAGTACGTACCCATCTGTTCAAAAAAGACCAATCCAGACTGAACATGGAGAGATGTATGTCCAGATACATAGTTAGAATTGGGTTTTTTTATGGAACATGTAGTATGTTTGTTGGGTATTTGGAAATTTTGGAATGAGTTAAATGTGAAGTTGTCTAACCATCTTTCTTGGTGAGATCTTGGAAGAGTTAAATTGATGTGAAGTTGTCTAATCATTTCTCTTGGTGAGATCCACATGCACGCAGGTGTACGATGGCCCGATGATGGGACTTTTGGATGTTGGAAATTTTGGAAGAGAGAAAACTCTGAGCTTTGCTTGCCATTTTGTTTTTCTCCCCCATTTTTCATAAATATCCACATCCCCATGCATGCAGGTGCAACGGGTAGATCATTTGCATGTATATGTTGTGCACAATTGCAGATTTTTTTTTCCCGAGGTACTCTCCCATATAAAAATAACCTCCAGTACTAATATATATATCTCTATCCAAATCCGTTGTACTAAAATGTTATAATCAGTTTTAGATTTTTTTTTAAGATGGAGGAAGTAAGCAATTGCAGATTTGTAGGGCCGGCTAATTATAATTAATTAGTCGGGCTTTCAAATACCAACGAACATGGATAGCATCAGCTAGCTCATTCAAATGGATAGAGAAAGTGGATATATATCGATCGAGCAAACTAATGTGGATTTGGTTTTCATCATTAACCAATATTCCCAATTATTTTGTATGATGATCTTTGAGTTTTCTTCGAAGAATCGTACAAAGTAATCGGGTTTGAAGTCAGAACAGGGCAAGTTGCCCTGTTCCATTGTTCTTTGCTGAATAAAGAAAATTTCAAGTATGCAGTCTTTAGATGAATGAATAAGCTTTAGCTTAGCTGGCAATGCAAGATAAAATTCAATGCAAGATAAAATTCAATGGCTGTGTCGACACGTAGCACTCCTCTCGTTGGAACCAAATCAAAATATTCGTTGAAACGGGACAATATTAGCATAAACACCTTTATTTAATTTGATTCTACCACGCAACATGAGTAACACATGCTAAACACGAAGAGCGTCGAGAAAAAGAAAATGGGTAAAAAAAAAAGCAAAAGCGTGTAAGTGCGAATGGGTGACGTGCAAACTGTTGCTTAACTTGCTAATGATGCAAGCATGCAACCATTCTTAATAAGATTAAAAATAAAATAGAAAAAGAATAGAAGAGAAGGAAATGATCCTCACCTGCTACGAACTCCGGTGTCGACGTCGGCGCTGCGCCGTAGTAATAATAGCTCCCCTGTGCGCCATGCCCGTAGTCGCCGCCGCCGCCGCCGGCGAGCGTCGTCGCCGGCACGTCCACAAGGCCAGACCACTGCCCGCCGCCGTGGTCGTCGTGGCCGGCGGCGACGACCCAGGTCAGCGCCGACACCATCGTGGACATCTCCTGAGCCTGGTACTCCCCGGACAGCACCGATCCCCTCGCCGCCGCCGCCGCCGCGGCCTCGAGCTCGCCACCGTCGTCCACCACATCGTCGACGCTCGCCTGCCAATCTCCTCCGCCGCGAAATCTCCGGCGTTGGTCGGCCATTAACTCGGCTGCTGCAGAGGCAATGCCGGCGCTCGAGTGCACTGTAGCTAGCGCGCACTGATCAAAATCAAAAGCTCAAATTGTTACTGGGATCGAGCCGTTCAGAGTGCTGTCCGATCCGTTAATTCCTTGCACGAGGCGGACTCGGACGAGACGACTGTTATATATATATACACAGATCGACTGTGAAAAAGGAAAGGAAAACATGTGTGTTCAGCGCTTCAGAATTCAGATAGCCGCCGCCTAAAAAAAGGTGCAGTTCAGATTAGACTCGGTCTCACTCGGGCTACCGCTAGCTTCTTCAAAAATCAGTTAATTAACCACGGTAATTATAGTTGATAAATTATAAGTAGTTATCTGGATCATAAGTTCATTCCCAACCCAATGACTAGAATAGTGTCCATAGCATTAAATAAACTGTTACTTAGAATAAAAAATGATGTGGCAAATGAATAAATGAGAAAAGCGAAAGAAATCATGTCTTGCATGAGACATGGTTTACAACATCCAAGACATTATATGAGATAAGTAGTATTAAATTTAAGTATGTATGATGTTTGCATTGGAAGAATAATGTCTAGTACTAGTTTATTGATGACGTGGAGTTTATGGAAATTATGTCTAGTGTTTGGGTTGAGAATGGACTAATAGATTAGCGATAATTTGCTAGATCGATGGATGGCTCGAATCCGGTGGACAGGTTCCATTGTAAGAAATTTAACTAATTAATTACTACGGTTATTTTATATAATACCTCCGTTTCAGGTTATAAGACTTTCTAGCATTGTCCACATTCATATAAATATTAATGAATTTAAAAATACATGTATGTCTAAATTCATTAATATATATATGAATGTGGACAATTTTAGAAAGTCTTATAATATGAAACGGATGAAGTATTATATTCTAGGTAAATTTTAGTATTACTATTTTTAATATAGCAAAAGTACTTAAGTCGTCGTGCAGTTTACTGATTGTTTTGCTATCAGTATGAAGCCAAGTCTTAATATGGTTAAAGTAACATTTTAAAATATGATAAAATAGGGCATCAGCAATACCAATTATTTGGTTCCAATTCTAAACATCCCAATTATACTATTTAAGTTTAAAAAATTGGCATGACACACTTTGAATTAGTATCCATCCAAATCGGCCTCTAATTAAGTAGGAAGTTTGGTTATCCGCACTTCAAGCTTATATACATTGTTATTGATCTACTTCCTTGAAAATAATTAATATATAACTAAATATATAAACGTAGCCGAATTGACATTTGTTTACTAGTAACTGGCGATCAAAGTGCGTCATTTGGAACTGCACCCACTATTTAATTAAGCTGACATTGGTCAAACTAGCACCGAGCAATGCAACGACCAAGTGACGTTGTGGTTCATGCACCCAACAGTATTGTCCCTTATCTGGTCCACGAAGTTTCTTCATTTGGTATTGGAGATTGCAAAATTTCGTCGTCCTGACCCGAATTTGGCTACATTTATTCTCGGCCGGGCTAATCGAAAATTCATCAATCGTTTTTTCCACGACGGCTAGAACTAGTCCTTCGAAGGCACGCGGTCTCATACCTTCTTGAAACTAACAGTGCTTAGAATTTTAGTTCCGAGATGAATTGTCCGATGCACGCGAGAAGTAGAACATATTGGGTTCAAGTTAGTTTGGATTGAAACCAAACCAGTCAACCAAAGGTTTACAAAATAACTTGAATCGAATATGAATCTATATCCCCGTAAACAAAAAAGAATTTATATCAATCCTATCTTCTCTGGCAAGGTTATATGTTGCTAAATATATATATTTCAAAAGGAAAAAGTGACAGATTCATTTTTAAAGCTTCATCTTTTGTTATATTTTGGTGGATTGTATATTGTACAACATATTTTGTGATGCATGCTTATATTGATAATTGCATTATACATTTTGATCTATTTGTGATATATCTATAACGTATTACATTATGTCTTTTTTGGGTCTGTAAAAATGCACTTTAGCCATCCATTTCTTTTTGGGCCGATAACAGGTTTTTGAATTCAAAAGTTTAGATTTGAATATTTGTTCAATGAAAACTAGTACTCCCTCCGTCCCAGAAAAAAAAAACAACCCTATCTATGTATCTAGACATGAGTGCATAGCAAGAGTTTGTTTTTTTTACGGAGGGAGTATGTGACCGCTAACAAGCCAATTACTGGTCCAGCACTAAGGAATCAGATAAATCACGAATATAGTGAATTTTTACGTTTGGGCCCTTTTGAAATATTATTTGTAAATAGATCCCTTTGAAAGAACTTGTTTTAAAGATGGACCCAAAGCTTGGCACCCAAGTCCTTGGTGCCGAGGGTAAATGCCTCAGCGTAAATGATGTTAGCGATGACACCCTCACACTAGTGACATGAAGTCCGTTGTGGGTGATGATGTGAATAGGTCAACACAGTGTCTTTGCAACCAAGGTTTTTTTTTTTTTACCGGAAGAAGTGATAGATGCCTCATGTTTTTTTTCTCTTTTATTCATGCTTGAAATTTGCTCCCTTAGGGAGAGTCAAACCCAAGATCTAGAGATGCTACTTGAGGACTTTAAGACCCTTTCGTGCAGCCTTATTGGCATCGACCTTCAACACCCTCATCCCATAAACAATTTAGAGGAAAAGAAGTAGGTTCACCCAAAAGGCGGTAGAACTAGCCATTAGGATGGATCCATCTAAACCGGTCGTTGTCGGTATCACGTTCAATCCCACTAATGTCTAGGTTGCCATCGTGAGCCAACATAAGCCAACCGTACACCACTCACCATTGCGAAGGATGTTTAGGATCAGGAGGAACGACAGACACGAGGATGGCTAAACCGATCTTATTAGACAACATCAAGCATCCCTGTCTCCTTACCACCTCTTGCCATGGTACCTTGCCCTACTAGGGCCAATTTACCCGATACCATTGTAAAAATTATGAGTTGAATGATATATTGGTCTAGGCCCTCACATATCATTCTCATGTACGATGGTATCTTGCAACTCACAAACCCTTATGATGGTATTTCCCAAATCCCCCCTACATATTATCACTATTTACGGTTTACAGTATTTATGGTTTATATGGCAACCTTGGTATTTCCAAGCGACCTATATATATTCTCCTAGTACCATATACCATGGTGTCTAAATAAGCCACGAACTTTTAACTACCATGACCTCTAAACTCTGTCGTGTTTTAGCTCCCTCTATATTTTCTGTTAAAAAAACAGAATAATTAGTACTAGTAGCATATTTTTCACTGCAGACACTAGGGTAGTGTTTGGTTGCAAGGATGGGATGGGATGAACCCACTTTTAGGGTATTTGGTTGAGGGGTGAGTGAGATGGGTTGGTCCTTGGAGAGAAATATTCCTCTTAGATCCGGGACCAATCCATCCGGGAAAAATGGCCGGAGGAGCTCGTCCCACCCGGGACGAGCGCACGGCGTCAGCTCGTCCACACCCACCATCACCTCCGCATCCGTCGACGCTTGTCCGCGCACTCCGCCACCTCCGCGACTGCCGCCGCCCCCACGACCGGCCGACCGTCGCCTCGTCCGCGACCGTCGTCGCCCTTGCGATCGACCGCCGCCTCCGCGACCGACCGCCGCCTTGTCTGCTACCGCCGCCGGCTCGTCTATGCCAGGCGCCACCTCTGCGACCGACTGCCGCCGCTCGACCGCTGCTTCTCTTAGTTCCGGGAGCCGCCTCGCCTTCTATCACTCGTCCACGACCCGCCTCTCCTCCGCGAGTGACCACCACTCGTCCGCGACCTGCCTCCGCTGCTTGTCCACGACCTGCCTCTGCCTCTCCTCCGCTCGCGCCAACGAGCTCCTCCGCCCCCACGCTCGCCGCTCGCTGCGCCCCAGCCGCTAGGAGCCAGACGACACTAACGTCCGTGCAAAGTTGTCCATCCTATCCCACCTTAATCCCTTCTACCAAACAAAAAGCTATTACATTCCCATATCACAAACTAAATTGACAACTAGAACCATCACATCCAAAAAAAAACTAGGATAGATGGAACCCATCCCACTTAGTCTCAAACCAAACACACGCTACAGGTACAATAGATTCTACCGATTCTAAAAACTAGGTAGGTCAATTTTGACTGAAATAGGGTGTAGTGGCCTGTGATTAGTTGCATAGTCGTCGTTATTACATCATTGTCCAGCACCTGAAGCATGCGAAATGCAACTCCAAGTTGGTAATGGAATGTTTCAAGAAAAAAAAAAGTTGGTAACTGAACAAACAGGTGCTATAGCTTGCTGTCTGCAGAAAAAACAGAAAAAAAATAAAAGGGCAACTCAGCTGAAATCTTTTAGAAGTAATAAACAGGTCAATTTTGATTTAGGGAATTCGACTAGATATTCACAGAAGTGGTGTTAATTTGCTGATTTACCCAGAACTCATGAACTCTGCCAAGGCCCTGCTTGAGCACATAGCTTAATTAGGAGTCGGTGGTCACATGCGGTCAATAAACGCTTTACAATACAACCGTAATTTAATCATATTTGAAAATTTACTCAGATCAGATTGCAGCATTAGTACTAGTACTATCTTAATAGGGAATTTCCAAAAGGCAGCGTGTTTGCTGTCTGACGGCCGGTTGACCACTTGACCTAATCTGCATCTATGCGCTATACTAAAAGCACACACGTCAGACCACAGTTTGATTAATCCAAAGAATTGCTTAGGCTAATCTGCATGCTTAATCCACAATGTGATTAAGGTTTCCAACTCTGAACTTTGCTTAATACAAAGATTTCACAAGAGCTTCTAGATAGTGGCAAAGTGCATAGGGATTGGGAGGTTTGAGGGGGTCAAGTTTCTTAGCTCGAGGAGGGGCATGCGTGCATGCCTGCCTGGGAAAAGCAGCCACACGCGAGCATTTCGTCAAACGGCTTTGAGTTCTTCCTGGTTTTGCAAGCCTGATCAATCACATTTGTACGGGTTGAGTTAAAAACATCACATCGTTGAGAAAAATCGCATGGTTTGTCACTGAAAGCAGAGTGTGGCCCCTGCATTACTTGCATTTGATCCAAGAACATGATGACGACGAAAAACGTGAGCTAAATGGTTTATTGATTTATTCTTTGTTGCTTTATA